AGCGATTTTCGTGAACGTGCATTACTGTAATAAGAATAATTAGTATTAGTAGTAGTATCAGTAGTAGTAGGAGAAGCAGCAGCAATTTTAATACATTACCTCTAATGGGTCATCTGGGAGACATTCCCATAAGAACGTGCAAAATTTTTCCAACTTTACTGTCCCATAATTCAATATTCCCTAATCTGATCTGAACCAAACTTTGTATGTTATCATTTTAGGCCCTAAACTATCATCTCTCAAAATATGGACATTAAATTGGGCCTTCTTCTGGTAGTTTGAAAATAGGAGACACTGAAACGTCTCCCGAAAAGCCAATGTCTCCCTAATGCTGAAAAATTTACCACCAAATGTCTCCCATTTAGTTTTATCAGCACAGAAATGTAAAACTTAGCAGTAAACCATGTAAAGCCTGATGTGTGATCAGAAGTAACTTTAATGAAATTCTTTGTCGAATAGGTAACCGATGTAATCTGACTAAAGAGGGAGGATTTGACAATATTTATTTATCATTATATTTATTATTATTACATTTAGTAATCACACACAAGTCTAGCACAAGCATTTTCGACCATTCATAGCTCATCAGAATCAGACTATCCATTATGGCAGACTGTTGCAGTAGTCAGCCTTGCTAATAATACACAAGAACCAAGATTGCAGTGCTGGTCAGCTTTAAGTCGTTGGGAAAGAAAGGAGATCTTACGGATGATAAAATGCCACTCTACAAATATGTGACACATGTCGATCCATATTCAGGTGGGAATCAAACAACACTTGAATGAATACCATTATAGTCAGTTCTTTCATACAGTATAATTCAAACGTTTAAAATAAGGTTTAGGAAGCTAGTCTTATTTTAACACTTCGGTCAAAATCAGGTGTATCGCTTCCTTGTGTAATACCCGACCACTGCATCTTTACAAACTTGATGAAATCCTTTCGGACTTGCACCATCGAGGTTTTGGAAACTTCAGCGAGCAAACTACTCTATACTGATTTCGAAATATGTGCCTGAAATGCAAAAGTGCTTTCTGCAATAGATTCATTTAGTGCTCTTCATAATTGTTCTATGGGTATTTAATTTGATTAAACATTTGATTTGATTAAACGCTACATATTATACTGCCAGCGAACTGTGATTTTTTTGTGGAGAGCACTGAAAAAAAGAAAATATTTTAAAGAATAAAATTATTATATGTTTTAGTTTGCAGTAACAATCTTTGCTTTTTGTGAAGATCCAATGGTGAACGACGGAATGTTTGATCCGATATTTTGGGGCTTTTTGAAAACAGAATTAAACGAAAATCTAGACCTTGTGCCTTTATGCAAGTGGATTACCCCTATACCTCGTCTAGCATTTTCGCTGTCTTAAAGGTTGTTGTAATTGAACTAAGGCAAGTAGATGCCTTTTGTCAAAGACTGGTCATCGGGCTAATGGAACCTCAATTAAATTTCAGATATGAGAAACTTTGTCATTTCAGCGGGCAATTACATTTCTGTTGCCTCTTGGGTGCTCCCGGCAAGTCACTACCAATCATTTAGCAATGCTCCATGGCTAAAAAACCCTCGGACTGAACAAACGAAGGTCCTCCAATGAAATTAGGTACCCTCGAAGAATTTGCTCCTCCTCTACAAAAGACATGCTAGCTACACCAATAACGTTGAAATACGCCTCCTAACGATGGCTACATGCATTGTTGGCCATGTACAAGGGTTTATCCACTGCGAACACATGGCGAAGGTTACCCTTGTTTTCTCTGTTTTTTTTCCAAATGACGTAATCAGAATTCGCATCTTGACATGAACAGAAAAAAACCTTTTAAGCTTGTTATAGTTGAGCCATATTTATTTGAACAGATAAAATCACAGAAAACGTGTTTTACCTAGAGGTGCTCTTTAAACTGGCAGGTGGCCAGGCTGTTTATGACAAGAATGGTAGGAACACTTCGACCAAACATCCAACCAACAAACCAACCTGGCAGTCCAGCAAGGACCAAATCTAACAAATGACCGACTCATGAACAGACAAGCCAAGCAAGGGACTTTAGTGCGAACTTTTATTTGTCGAGAATCGATCACGTGATGTGCAACCAAAAAAGCATATACAGGACATGAGCGACGTTTGCCGTGGCACCCCACATGTACCCCTTGGGGTATACCTTGTTCTTGTGCAGCCAAGTTAGCGTGCGTATGAGCTGTGCTCAGAACTTCAGTGAAGCACTCTTTCATTAACTAAATACTGATCACGGGATGGGCGAAAACCCCGCAAAAAACCTTATGGGAAAAAAGAGCAAGGGGAAATTCCCGATCCGGCTCCAATGAACATTGGCAACCAAGTTACCAATTCCATAGATCAGCATTTTGGACTACAAGGCACTGGTCATGGCTTTCCGTAGTTCTGATTTGAATGTCTCTAAGGAGTCTATATTTCTGAGTTGCTCTGGCAAATTATTCCATATTTGTGCACCTTTTATTGCAAAACTTTGAGCGTAGCATTCTTTTTATTTATATCGCGTGTGCTGATAGCTGTGTGGGATTTTTAGCACTTTGTGAATCATGCTCTTAGTAGTGCAGACGGCCAGCCACAGTTTTAGCAGCAAGTTGTAGGAATAACACGACCGTGACGTCAATAGAACAGACCCGCTTAACCAGTCTTATTGATTCGAGACAACATTTTGACTTTTGTTTACACATTTGTTCTCGTAGCAAATGGACAACAATCAAAATAAAGCTGATCTGAGTTCAATAGGCAGATAATTTCTTGGCAAGTACCTACCCCAGTCCAGTTCCATCTCATGATCAGGTGGTAACCGTCTAGGATCCCGTCCAAGCTGTTGATGTGGTCCAGTGCCGTCTGCGCTACCTCTTGTTGCATACCTATCAAAGGACTGTTGGGGAAAGCGAACATCCCGCCTATGTGAATCACGCATTTCGCGCCAAAAGCAGTAGCGTTGTACGTGTTGATACACTCCGTACATCCGAACACCGTAAATACAACCAAAAACAAAAGAAGTGCCTTGGTGACCACTCTCTGCTGGACAATAAACATCATGGAACAACGTGTGCGAGAAAACGCTTTCAGTCGCTTCATTTCCATCACTTCTGAGGCTCAGTTCTATATCAAGTATAACTGTCTGGCATTCACGTTGTGTTCGGCACCGTACATGAAGAGAACAGCGCACGGATGACTGAAGGCCTTAACGGAATAAACAGGTCAGTTTTTGGTTCTTCGTTAATAATTATCTCGGGTCCGTTCCAGGGTGTGTTGCGGCAACACGACGAAGTCACTGCTCTGCACTGCATGCATTTGATTTGAAAAATGGCCTGGTTTAAAAGCAATGGCACTATACTATTTGAGACGATTGAATTTCCATTGTGCCGGTCAAAACAGCCAAGGAGGAAGTCACATGTGACGCACCCAAAGACTTGTGATGCGTGCCTGCTGTGGCCAACCGTGTGTGCACGCAAGTACCGCCGGCTAACCCTCCAGCTGTCGATCTGTTTTCCTCCACTAGCAAAACGCTAACATATCGCAAATTTGAAAGTATCTTATGAACCACTCTACGTTCTCCTAACAAACGTTACCGCAACAAGACAATACTCAAGACCATCTGCAGAATGAGCTTGTTGGGCTACAAGTCATGTAAACTTTATTGAGGTTCAAGCTACAAACAACACATTTTCTCAAGAAAGCCTTTTAGACTTTTTGGGGGTGGCAGGTACCGATCGAAAGCATTGACTTCATAACCCTGCACAGTTCTGTTTGTAAAAACTCCATCTGCGATGGAAATCGACTAAATGGAACCTCTAAATTTGGAATTTAAAGGTTCCGGGAAGTTTTTCATGCCAAATGAAAAGTTCATTGGTAAATCAGCTGACATTACTTGGATTTCAAAGGATAAGAAGTCAATTCAACAAAAGTGAAACAACAAGGCAAATGAAGACAAACTAAAACTGTTACCTATACTTCCCTAAGTCACTACTAGTAAACGACTACTCTATCAAATCACTCCGTAAACAATTCACAAACCTTTACCAAAAGAACAGTCTTCCCAAAATACTGTTCCCTATACCATATAGGTTATGTGCTCCTGAAATGCGACATGATGGCTAAAAAAAGAGAAAAAAATTAAATGAAGCCTATCAAGCACGTCTGCAGGTCTGCATCTCTAAAAGCATGTGTCCAAGAAAAATCCCACACTTGGTAAAAGTAAGAGTTAATTTCTTGATTCGGTTTTTATTTACACGCATTCTTCCCATGGGCTTAGCAAACAGGCTGCTGATTATTTCACACAGCTAGTCTTCAAACCAGAACCACTTGGCTTCTAATGTTGATTTCACCCCACGAATTATTTAGAGAAATGTTTACTAAGGAGGGGGTACAGTTTCTACACTTTCTATAGACTTGATTTCTAGTCCGTAATTGGCCGGGTGTAGTCCACCTCTTTAGTGATGCGTACGCAGTGCGGTTTGCCGTGTTCTTTAATCACAAAGGCACGTGGGAACGGTCAGTGCAACCTCCCTCCATGATATGCGTGTCTAACGCACTGAATAGTAGAGATAAGTGGTCTAACGGTGCCCAACGACCGACTTCATATCTGCAAGCCCTTTTGTGCACAACATATGGGGCTTGCTACCAAAATTGGACAGAGCACTCTGATTGGCTAAGAATCCCGAACATGAATATTTATTATAGGGCAGTTTGATTGGCATATGAAAAGTCAGTTGAACGTTTGTCAACCACAACCACAGTCTCGTTCATTGAAGAGTGTGTTTACATTGCTCTAAAAAGATGATTTACCATAAAAGCATGAGTTATTTTACCAAAAAGAGATAACTATTAGATTGGTTCTTGAATAAAAGGGATATCTGTATCAACACCTTACAAAGCGAATTTCGTTCAGCTTTGCCCTCCATGCAAACTTTGTTTCATGTGGCCCGCCGTATACCACACGACCATCGCGTGCACATATTTTTTGCATTCGCAGTGACCTGACCTGAAGTGACTTGTAAGTGCGCAGGAAACAAAGTTAACACACACTTTCACCATGGAGTTTTTTGCTGTTTCTTGTGCCTCGTGCGTGGAAGTTCTTTAGCATGTTCCTCAAACTTTGTGGAGATATACCCCCTCTGGATTAGCCGTATTCTTGTGCCTCATGTGGAGGAATGTGCTGTGTGTCCTGTGGACATTTTCTGAACTTGTTACGCTGGCAACTGTGAACTAGCAGTGCAACATTGAGCTGGATTTGACCCAGCGCCCAGCCGATCTTGCCTCCATTTTTTTGCACGCCGCAAACACGTGTCTCGCGCGCGCGACAAGAGCACTGGATCCTTGGCCTTGGAACAATCACAGTCAGCAGAGCAGAGTTAAGCGCCAGCAAGTAGCTTTCGCCAGTTTCGGTGAGTCGATTCCTTGAACACTTACTGTGTGGAAGTTAGCACGAAGTTCCCACATAATTTATGCACGATTTAAAGAAACTGACCCTTATCAAATATCGACATCCCTATATTTAAATGGATGAATCTATTATGTAGCGTGAGCACTCTTGGTGCTGTCCATGGAAACATATGAATACATGTATATAGTTCTTGCATACATGAAACCTTTCTATGGGTGCATTCGATTAACTTACACGTGTAAGTCAAACCAGAGCGTTCGTACGTTTAGCCATCACGTGATCTTTGTGCCTGCCCTGGTGTCAGCACTACCCCGGCTAGCGAGCGGGGCCATGGAGGCTGCCCAAGTGTAATGGCATCAAGGATGGACTGTTCGAACATGGCCATAATGGAATTAACATTGCAGCAACTTGAAGTTAAGCACGTAAGTACAGAACCCAGAATAATTAATGAGAGATCTTATTTTGCAGAAATTATATTAATATCAAACACCATCCCAGCAGGTTTGCACAAAATTACCACATCCGGAGATACATGCTGTCATGGTCATTCTGCCTATTTCCAAAAAAAGGGAAACATTTCTCAGTCCGATCTACAGATCTAGGCCTAAACCCAGGCTGTAGGCTTAGGTACTATACTAATTTTAGGCTACTATAGGCCCTAGGCTAATTGTCATCTGTGTCTGTATAGTCGGCAAAGCATCTAGAGGACACATCATGAATGTAAACTTAAACAGGGCCCAACGTAGGCTTACAGTTATAAGGCTATACTCCTTCGTCTCACTCATAGGCCCTGTTTACAGGTCTAATTCATGGAGGTAGGCCAGGCCTAGGCCTGGGCCTAACAAGTTACCCCGATTCCTAATGTTTGATGGTTCCGTACGCAATGGCATTTGAAACTGCCCTGCAATTAGGCCTACCACTTAAAGCCTCTTTCTTGATCAAATCTGCCCCCCTGAAATGCTGGCCATTATAGGCTGTTCGGTAACGTGTATGGCCTACATGTATGAAACTAGTACCACGTGCACGTGTATTTTGCTGAGTGTAACCTGGCCTACATTAGGCAAAAAATGAACTGCCTACATCTGCGTTAGTGTGGTTCCTTGACCACAGATTTCCCTGACATTTCTATACATTATCCAGAGTTTTCGGATGTGGAATCCAAAGTATCATAATTGTTATGCTGCACCTTTTTTGTCATGTGATGTACGCCTACAAAGTGCAGTTGTGTACAGATCATTGAGGGATTTACAGGTCAAGATGGCAGGAAAAAGCTCATTTTTGCCAATGATGTAGGTAGTTACACTCTACAAAATACACAGTAGGCCTATATGGGCACAATGAAGGATTCCATGCGGATCAAAAAAACTGTCCTACAAGATGTCTATTTCACAGCCTCTATATTCACTACAAAAGAGGTTCAGAGGAATAAAGATATAATTTTGGTTTTCAGTAAGAGTTATGAGTTGCAATAGGTGATTATTTAAAGAATGGTAGCTCCATTGGTACAGCCTTGTATTAATGCATGCATTTTTGACACTTTCTTAAACGTAATTTGCTTCTTCATTCGCGTACAGTACTTTTTTTTTATGAATTCGGATGTGGTGTGTGTGTGTGTGTGGGGGGTAATTTTGTATGCATTAATTTCTTGTTCCAACACATTAATTGCAGGTTTCAGTTCGTTTTTTTTGGGGGGGGGTTACTATCTCATGCCTACTCTGATTGGCTGATTGATTTATTGCAATTTGCATAGTTTTTCTGTATCCTTTTATATCATTTTAAATCTAATTGGTTTTTTAGTGTTCCACCTCAAGTTTGGAAAGACAGGCTTTCGGGTCATAGTGTTTATGTATACTTTTTCAATCCTGGCCAACTTGGAGTGGGTTTTTCTTGTTGTTTGTTATGTCCATTTGTTAAGTCCATTGATTTTTATGTTTGTTGAGTATTGTCCTATCAGTATCTGTTCTGAATGGTTGAATAAATAATAATAACAATAATTAGGGTTGTTCATTTTCTCTTTTTCATTGTTTCATATTTAACAGCTATTGTCAGACAGTTGTAATTCAAGATAGAGACGTGAAAAGTTACCGTGTCTCATTGGAGGCACCAAGTGCTAGAAGGTTGACAGAAAGAGGTAACAACACAGTGATATGAATTATTTTATGAATATGTGGAAAATGTGTTCAAGAAAAGTTTGAGAAATTGCTTCTCTTTTGATTAGAGAAAAACTTATGAGAAGTTAAAAGGGTATTACTGCAGAAGTGCAAACTGATACAACTTATAAAAAGTGGAGTAGTCACTCGTGGGGATACAAATAAAAGAAGGCAGTCTACTCTCGTGAAAAGATTGCAGTAGAGAGTACGGTGTTGTATCACTCTAGTCTATGTATGAATTTATTCTGAATAACCATTGTATGTGAGAGACATACATGTTATTTTATTTTATTTTAGATTCAGAGTTTGCAGAGCTTATTCTGAGGAAAATTAAAGAGGCTGCTTTAGGTAAACACTGTTATCTTGTTCTTGAACACCCCATATAAGTGATGCCTACTGGGCACATCTACATTTGTGCACAACTGTTTGGAAAACTGGAAATTTTGTACCGCTTTTATACGGTTGTTGGCATATCTATTTGTGTATTGTAAAACAGTGCATCAACAAAGCCCATACACAAAAAACTAATTGCACAATAAGTAATTGAATGTTTCATTTTGCGTTATCCAACAATGCAAACGTGTGGACTGCAGAATAATTTTGCCAAGACTTTTTAAATTGGATTTTAATGCCTTGCATTTGAATTCAAAAATGCCTGCACCCAGGAGGGCATTAAATTTTCTTTGCACAGAGAATGTGAAGTTAGCACTCTAGTTATTCAATATAGTTCTATGTGAAAAGTATACATGTATCTGTGCATTTGGGTCAATTATATGTTGCCTCCAAGCAAGCAAATCTTTAACCATGACTGAATTAAAAGTTGTTTTTTAAACTTCGCAGAATTCAAATACATACATGTATAACTATTAAAAAACTGTAAATTTTCATGTCATGAATGGAAGGTTTCCGAAGGAAAATAAGAGTACAGAAAATAAGAGTACTCTGTCTTAATTTAAAATTGGCCTGCATTAGCATATATACCTGAATAACAATTATGTTGTGGAAATGAATGATGAATCTCCACTCAGCCAATTTTGTGTGATTCAGTCACTGTTCTTTTCAAATGGCTATATTTTTCTTTATTTCTCTTTATCCGG